TGTATCTTCTTCTTAGATCTTGATTACTGGGAAGGGTCTTTTGAAGAGGGGGCTTGCAGGATGTTTGATAGCTTTAGTCCCGGGCCAGGGCCATAACGTTGCTGGTTACGACTTAGATGGAAGTCTTGTCTTGTTAAGTAAAGACACAGTTAATATATGGACTATTTTATACATTACAACAATAGAGGGTGAGTCTATGATCTTATATGGGAAAGGAAGATGATCTTGTAGCTCCGGAGACAACACAGGATGTTTTATTAGCAGTTTTTCATAGTCAACAGCACATAGATGAGAAACTCTTTGTAGTTGAAAGCTACCTGTTGCTTTAGATAAGAGCTCCCAGCTAAAATGGTTAATCTTTCTGTGGAGCCCTCAGCTTTGTTTATTCTGTTGTCCCATCCAGGCTTTTTCCTCTAATAAATCTGTGGGTTTCTGCATTTTGTTTGTTGAGTCTTGTCAATTAGTGAGTTCTTTTGTTTTATCTCTGAGTCTCTGTTATGTGGTGAATGTGCTGACTTTGCTAGTGTGAGTTAACTTTGGCCTGTAGCTTTAACAAGGGGTATGTAAGTAAAACTAACCTTAAACTAACTTAGTCTACATATGCTTTTAATGCTAATTTGGTTTATACTAACTTAATCTATATGTTAATTTTGGCTTAAAAACAGACAGGTGGGGGAGTCTTAAACTTCCTGATCCTCGTGTCAGTCTTAGGGAACCACATTCCTACAAGATCACTAATTGGCTTTATTGCAATGGTTGGGGGTGATGTTTTACCCTTGCACGGTACAGTAATAACAGTAAAACTCACGGCAGAGAAATTGAATACCGGCCAGTTCAAGGACACAAGGGAGAGCTCGTAAACTGGGCCTTGCCTCAGTTTCTTCCCAGTCCAGGCCTTGCCTTAGAATGGGAGGCAGCATCCTTACCAGCTTGTGTTGCCTGCATGGCCCCGTCAAAGGGGGATGACCACATTGCAGTGCCTTCTCCTCCATTCTCCTCTCGGGATCTTGAGCATGCACGCACACACTCCTGGCTTGAATTTATGCCACCAGGTCCGGGACTCAGACTGTGGTTGACTTCATGGGAGTCCAGAGACATCCATTATGCCAACTGCTGATCCCTATTTGGTTAACTTTTCTAACTATGCTAAGTTTCCTCTCAAGATACAAGTTATGCTGGCTATCCAGATTCTGTGATTAAAATGAAAAGTAATATTAGACTCTAGTGTTTAATATTTAACAATAATAGTTTTATGCCTGTAGGCAAATTATTTTTCAATTTTTTTTCCTGCAGTATAGCTGAAATACAGAAAGATGTGGAATACAGATTGCCATTCACCGTAAACAACCTGACTATTAATATTAATATGTGAGTAGAATTACTTTCTATTTTTCATGTAATAGGACTTAAAATTTTTTTTATTATCTTCTATTTCTCAGTTATTATTAGAAACCTTTTTAAAGTGAATTTATTTTAGATAACTGTGACTTTTAAAATAATACCCAATGGAGTAAAATAAAAATTATGAGGGAGCTTCACTATAATTTATATTGCTGTAAAAAGGAAACAACAAAGAAGAAATGCAATGGTAGTGTAATTATTTTTTTATTTATTAGCACTAAATTCTTATTTGGAGGTAAGCTGAAAAATTATAATGACAGGCAAAGGGAACAAATATGGAAATCCAATAGAGGTAGATTCAGTTTTACTTCAGAGATAGGAAAAATATTTCAGATTGCAGGAGATAACACTGCATCAGTCGGAAAGTTTATGACTGGATTTGATCTGCTGATTTGTTTGCTGTAGGGCACAGACACTCTCCAGAGAGAGAGAAAGTGAGAGATCACCTTCCAGGGGAACAGCCATGCCTCAGTTTCTTCTCCATTCTCCTCGTAGGATTTTGGGCTTACCCACACATGCACCTGGCCTGTTGTTTTAAGCCGCTGGGTCTGGAGCACTAACTGCACAGTAGGCCATGTGGGATCCAGCTGCCTCGACCTCCGAGTGCTGGTACAGCTGCTGATTTTTTTTTTTTTTTTTTGAGGAAAAGAAATTGTAATCATGTTTTGACTTACGTTAGGAAGAGTGACAAAGGACAGAATGATTGCGGAAGTACCCATTTAGCCTTAAATGCAATTACTTATTTTTATTGTGAAAAAATTACTGCTTCAAATTGCATTGGTTGCTTAAAAGACGAGTACTTTCAGTAGGATTTATAGAATCTCACATCTAGATCCTCCCCCCGGCCTTTCCAGCCAGGCAGGATCATGCAGAAGAACATGTGTGTAGCATGTACAGATCGACCCCGGAACTGAATCCTGATCCTCCATGTGAATTCTAGTATTGCAGAGTGGTGCACTACTATTGTACCACTACAGATGGACCCACAGAGGAGGCCTTATTAAGCAGTAATTGAACGAATGAATTAAAGCACAAATATGTATCTGTGCCAAGCATTATGCTATGTTAGCTTCGTATATATGAGTTCTTTACAGACACACGGTTAGTGAATAGCAAGTCACGATACAAGCCCAGGTTAGCTGGGCGTCATAGGACATTTATTTATCTTTGTGTACCAAACTAGTTGAAAAATTTTCAACTGTATTAGGGGAAGTAGTTTCATTTCTTATCAAATGCTCAAGTAGGAGATGCCAACAAGAATCTAATTTTCTTGACAGCACTCTGCCAACAGTTTTCTGAGCCAACAGAGGAACAGAAAGGCAATTTAAAGGGAAATATTTTGGTGCAGCAGTAACATAATACTCTGCAATGCTGGACCCATGTGGGAATGTCCCAAGATCGTGTACTGGCTGTCCCGCTTTATACATGCTGGGCATTCATGTGCCTGCCTGTGATCTGGGCTGGCTATGTGTGGATCTCAGCATGAAGACCGTGTTAGGGTATGCTTGTTCCTCTCTCATTCTCACTCTGTCTCTTGTAGAAGAAACAAGTAAATACATTTTTTTAAAGTGAGGAGGGGAAATAATTTGCAAAACAATTTATCTAATAATGCCCTATTTTTCAAGACTTCATTTATTAATCTTAGTTTTATAATAATTCAGAAAAGGCTAACATTTGCACTGTTTTTGTGTTGTTTTTTGTTTTTTTGTTTGTTTGTTTGTTTGTTTGTTTTTAGAGAGATTTTTGCTGTAGGGTACATGTACTCACCAGAGAAACAGAAAGCAAGAAATCACCCCCCAGGGGGGATGGCCATGCCACAATCCCTTCTCCTCCATTCTCCTCTTGGGATTTTGGGCACAGATGCACACATGCCTAATGTGAGTTTTAATTAAGCCTCTGGGTCCAGGACTTGAACCGTAGTTGACCACATGGGAGTCTGTTGCCTTAACTACTATACTAGCTGTTGGCCCCTTACTGTTCTTTTCTTAAAACCATGTGATTGATTTCAAAATTGGGAGAGATTCATTAAATCAGACATGTAGAAAGGACCCAAAAGAACCAGGTCTTGTTAGCCACATTTTACTCCTACTAATTCCCACTTATTATTTCTTTAGAAATATAATAGTGAAATTATTATTTTTTAAAGAATTATTTATTTAATTTCATTTATTACTATTTTTTTGATAGAGATTTTTGCTATAGGGTGTGTGTGCTTGCCAGAGAGACATAGAGATAGAAAACAAGAAATCACCCCCTAGAGGAAGATGTCCACGCTGCAATCTCTTCTCTTCCATTCTTCTTCTAGGATCTTGGGCATGCACACACTCGTGCCCGGTATGATTTTTCAAGCCACTGGTTCCAGGACTTGAACCATGGTCAACCATGTGGGAGTCTAGTGACATAACCATTATGCTATGTGCTGGTTCCTGTTGTTATTATTTTTAACTTGCTGTGTAGGGCATGTGCTTTCACCAAAGAGAGAGAGAGAGAGAAAGCAAGGGGCCAGATCTAGTACTCAAATCACAGTCAGCTACATGAGAGTCTAGCACCTTAACCATCACACCACTTGCTGGTCCCAGTGAAGTCATTCTTGGCAGTATTTCACAAGTATAAAAATCACAAAAATACTATATAGCTGGAACATGTGGCTTGGTCAATGGCCTGACTGGGTTAGTATGGTGATCTGAATTTCAGCTGAGATTTTATGTAGTTCGCTATGTTGTATTTGAAACAATTAACTGGCATGATATGAAGAATGTTCTGTAACTTAGGGTGTTCATATTCCACACCAAGAAGGTTTTATTGTATTAAATTACCATAAAGTCTTATTGCCATATCACCTTTTGTGTATTTTCAGTCAACTCAGCAACCATTAATTTAGTTAATTAATCCATAAACAAAGTGTGAAAATTTAACTTGCTTTTAGATAGTTTTGTTTTAGGATTATGGCTAATGTAACATTTGTTGTCTTCATTCCCTTTGCCCTACCTTTACCAGATTGCTTCCTCCACAATTTCCTCAGGAAAAACCAGTGATCAGTGTTTATCCACCAATACGACACCACTTAATGGATAAACAAGGAATATATGTTACCTCTCCATTAGTAAACAACGTACGTATACAGTATATTTCAGAATGTTGTAACAGCTGTTATTACTTTCCAAATAAATATTTCACAAATCTGAAATGCACTTAACATTTTATTTTGGGGCCAGCAAGTGCTGTAATGGTTAAGGCTCTAGATTCCTATATGGCCAACCGTGGTTCAAGTCCTGGACCTGGAGGCTTCCTTTCTCACTTTTTCTCCCTCCCCCACCTCCACTGGTGAGCACATATACTCCATAGAAAATTAAAAAGAAAATAATAATAATTCTTTAACATTTTCAATTTTAGAATCAGTAATTATCAAAAAGAGTTTTACTATGTATAATAGGTAATATTTTGTTTCCTTAAGACAATGCCTTAAAGTTCTTAGGATATGATGTGGCTTATTAACATGAGGAATGTAACTTTTAGTCTCTCAGTATGTACCTTTGACTCTTCACATTGTAGATAGTCAAATGTGGAAATATTTCTTTTCAAGTTCATGATAGACTGTGTGCATGCATGAGAGAGAGAGCAGTGCCCTGTAGAGGGTTAGTCACTCCACAGTTCTCTTTTTTGAAAAGTTTAGTCTACTTCTTCTTTGAGCTAAAGAGAGACAGAGGGACAGCATCTCAAGGTGTCTTGAGGCCTCAATCTACCCCAGTCTTAGCCAACCCTAGCTCTTAGGCATGGGCACGAACATGGAACTTTCCCATATGGCTCACCCTCACAAAGCATTGTGTTTTACCACTGTGGCACCATCTGGACCTCAAATGTGGAAATATTTCAGCTCTATTACTGAGTATATGGGCTTTTTAAAAAGAATTATTTATTTAATTTTATTTATTCATTTGTTATTTTGACAAGAAAGAGAGAGAGGAAGTGAGAAAGCAAGCCACCAGGTCTGGGACTCGAACTGTGGTTGGCCATGTGGGAGTGTCCAGCATCTTAACCACCACTCCACCTGCTGGCTCCGAGTATATGGGCTTTTACCCTGACTTGCTAATTGCCAAATATTATGGTATTGATTCTGTAAAAAAATGTTGTAAATAATGAATCACTATTTTTTTTTTTTTGACGCAATGTGGCAGGTCTTTAAATGTTTAATGGAAAATACATATTATGAAAAAACTGGATTTCAAATTTTTTTTTTGGACCAAAATAAACTTGTACTTTAATTCTGTTTTTTTCATGAACTTTTTGAGATTCCCTCATAACTTTTGCTTTTCATTTAACTCTTGACTTGCAAAAGTATTGGGTCCTTGGAAAAGTTATGATGCATTTTTGTAGACAAAAACAGAAAAATATGTTATGGCTTTTAAAACAACCCAATAGGTAAAGACCGAGAAGTGATATTAACCTAATGAGACTTCAGACTCCTTTCTTTGATTTCAGTATCATGTATTATTGTTAATTTCAGTTTACAATGCACTCAGACCTTGGAAAAATTATTCAGAGTCTGTTGGATGAGTTTTGGAAGAATCCTCCAGTTTTAGCTCCTACTTCAACAGCATTTCCATAGTAAGTACATTTATAACAAATAAAAAATCTTTAATATATTTCCAATTATCAAAGTAATGAAAATATAGTTTAAAAAAGCAAATGATGGTCAAAGGAAACCTGCTTCCCTCCACCTTCACACATATATATCCATACTTTTTAGAAGCCACTTTATTTTTCTGTTTTAGCTGCTGCTTCTCATATTTACTTTCATCTTTCTGAATAATATGTACACATTGCTCTCTCTTGATTCTTTCATTTTATTAGTAGATATTATCTATTGGCCTCCTATATAGGATTTTTAGTTATTTCATAAAATTTCCCACTTCATCTTACTAGTGAAAGTATACATTTTTGGGGTTTTTTTTTTTGAATGAATAAATTATCTTATTTTTTTAAAGAATTATTTATTTAATTTTATTTATTCATTCACTTATTTTAATTTGACCACAGAGAAAGGGAAAGTAAGAAAGCAAGCCATCAGGTCAGGACTCGAACCATGGCCAGCCAAGTGGGAGTGTCTAGCTCTTTAACCACCAGGCCATCTGCTGGTTCCCTAATTATCTTAATTTTTATTGGTTTGGTATACTTACATCTTAATTTATCATATCTTCTTATATTTTAAGATCTTAAATTTCCCCAGAGCTTTTAGCACCTCTGAGAAAAATCTCTTTTTTAAAAAATAAATTATTTAATTTTGTTATTATTATTCTTTTAAATTTTACCAGAGAGAGATGGAAAATGAGAAAGCAAGCCACCAGGCCCAGGACTCGGACTGCAGTTGGTCATGTGGGAGTCCAGTCATATAACACTACTCCATCTTGCTGGTCCTGAGAAAAAGCTCTCTTTTTTTTTTTAAAATTTTTAAAAATCTCTCTTTTTAAAAATTATTTATTTAATTTTATGTACTAATTCATTTATTTTTAGTTTGATGAGAGAGACACAGAGAGAGAAAGAGGGAAAGTGAGAAAGTAAGCCCCCAGGTCTGAGACTTGAACCATAGTGGGCCACATGGGAGTGTCCAGCACCCCAACCACCATACCACCTTCTGGTCCTGAGAAAAATCTCTTAAAAATTTGTTCACATCATCAGACCAGTTTGGCTGTCTATAAATGCAGTGTTGTTTGTTTGTTTGTTTCTGTTTTTCTGGCAGACAGTGCTCTACTTTTTAAATTTTTTCTGATTTACTCTAACAGTTGCACAGCTCTTATACATGAATTCTCTTTATTGCCATCTTGGGTTTCCATTTGCCCTTTTCTTGTATTGAATTCTCTGTTCTTGAATTTTGTGTTTTTTCTCTTTCTTAGGCTGTTTCTAGTTTTTTAATTTGCTGGCCTCTAATAGCTTAAAAAGTAAAGGTATGTTCCAGTAACTGGTTGCCTAACAAATTACCCTAACGCTTGTGTTTAATAAGATTGGAGCCAGCAGGTGGTGTAGGTTTTTGGGGCTGGATTCCCACATTGCCAGCTGCAGTTTGAATCCCAGACCTAAATGCTTGAAACTCATGCTGGGCATATGTGCATGTGTGCCCAAAACCTGAGAGGAGAATGGAGGAGGAAAATCACCCCGGGAGGTGATTTCTCACTTTCTGTATTTCTGGCAAACACACACACCTTGTGGGAAAAAAACTCTCTCTTAAAATAAAATAATGGTGATATATTTTTTGTGTGTGAATCCGCAACTTGATTAGGCACAAGTGGTGATTGTTTATTTTTTGTCCAATTTTGTGTATTAGCTGGTACAGCTTGAGGTTTGAGAGTTGAAATCATCTGAAGGCTAACTTAATTATTATGTCTGGCAGTTAATGTTGGCCAGACACCGAGGCTACCAACTGATACATCTACGTGGAGGCTTTCCAGGTAGCCTGGGCTTCCTTGTGGCATGGCAGGATGGGTGCTAAGACAAGCATCCCAGGAAAAGAGCAAGACAGCCTCTTGGGAGCTGAATTGTCTTTTCTGATGTAGCCTTGAGTGTCATTCAGCATCATTTCTGCTGCATTTTGTTTGTAAAGTCAATCACGAAGTCTCAACCAGATTGAAAGGGAAGAGGACATAGACACCATCTCTTGATGGAGTGGCAAAGTTCAAGAAGAGTATGTAGAACTGGATATCTGACTGTGGCCATTGCAGTCTGTCCAGATGTTCTTCTAAAGAATTCACTTCTCTCCCATGATGTGTAAATGCACTCGTCCCCTCCCAAGAGAACTCCAGAGTTCATTATATTATAGAATCAGGTTTGCGTTTAGGGTCAGGGTTTCATCATCTATAATAAATGAGGTTCAGGTACAGATGAGTTTTCTAGGTTGTGTTTCTTAAGAACAATTTTTCTGGATCTAAAGATAAGTGATTTGAAAAGAGAATACCAGGTATCCACAATGGTAGAACAAACCTAGAATCACCCCTGTAGACCATTCTACTCCAGGGGGAGAAAACAGGAAGCACATGCAGGAGCCTTTGATTTGTAGCAATTCTGAAATCTCACTGGGCACATTTATTTGATTAGGACTTAGTCTTTGTGGGAGTGACTATTTATATAATAATTCTGGGTTCTTGGTTTTGCCTTCTGAGTCATCTTTTATGTAAAATGTAGTTCTTGTTTGTAGGCTAATAGTTTTTTTCAGCCTACTTCTCATCTATAGAAGTCTAAGGGCCCAAAAACCTGTTTTTATTTAGTACTCTGTCTGTCCCTTTTAGGCCAAGATGATCTAAATTCTTTACAATATGTATAGTTTTCTTATGAATTCATTTCTCATTTATTTCTTTAGACAAAAGCAACACCCACAAGACTGCAAAATAAGTTATTGGGCTTCAAGCAAGGCTGCTGAGAGACAATGCCCTTAAGATTCTTAGAAGCCTTCCATGGCTTTTTTTGCTTACTGGACAACTCTCTGAGACACTGCTATGGTTCTTTTTGAAGTGCTAACAAAGGATCTTTTGGCCCACTCTAGGTTGAACTTTGCTTTTCTAGCACTTTCTTAATTTAAAAATCTTAAAGAAGCTGGCAGTGAGAGACATTTTAATTTTTATTATTTTATTGTATTTATTTTTTTAGAGAGATAGATTTTTTACTATAGGGCATGTACACTCACTAGAGAGACAGACAGAAAGTGAGAAATCACCACCCCCCAACCCCGGGTGATTTCTGCAATCCCTTCTCCTGCATTCTCCTCTTGGGATCCTGGGCACACATGCACATGCGCCCAGCATGAGCTGAAGCCACTGGGTCTGGGACTTAAATCGTGGGCAGCTATGGGGGAGTCCAGCGACGTAGCCATTACACTATCCACTGGTCCAGAGGCATTTTAATTTAATTTAATTTTTAAATTTGCTACACGGCATTCACACCCCCCCGGGGGGGAGTAGAGGTAGAGAGAGAGAGAGAAAGCTGCCAGGTTTGGGGCTCAAATCACGGTCGGCCATGTAGGAGTCTAGCACCTTAACCACCACACTACTTGCTGGCACCGAGACATTTTTATTTTAAAACCCAGAAAATCTTGTCTGTATTATATTTAGCATTTTTTTTTAAACTTATCTCTTCCCTCTCAAAATTTACTATAGTTAGCTGGAAGTCAGAGGATAAATCTTGCCTAGAAATCTCCTTAGCTAGATCATCCAATTCATTAAGGACATTTTCTGTTTTATCGTTTCAAATAATAGTGTTAGTAAACTTTCCACTAATACGTAATACGTTCTCTTCCAGTCACCATCTCCTCGAAGACTTTTTTTTTTTTTTTTTTTTGGAGGGGTTTTTTTCTTAGGGCACATGTTCTCGCCAGAAAGAGAGAGAGACAGAAAGTGAGAAATCACCCCCTAGGGATGTTGGCAGTCCCTTCACCTCCATTCTCTCGGGATCCTGGGCACGCACACACATGTGCCCGGCATGAGTTCAAGCCACCAGGTCCGGGACTCAAACTGCAGTTGGCTACGTGGGAGTCTAGCAACATAGCCATTGTACCAACTGCTGGTTCCAACATTTTAAAATTAAGTTTACTTGTTTATTCCACGAGCATGAGAGACAGAGAGGAAGAGACAGAGAGAACCCTCGCAAGGTCTGGATGCCATGATCTAGTCACAGCCTACCCCCAGTCATGGCACACGTGTACTTAGGGAGGTATCGCCTCACAGAGTGCCCCATTTTTCTGCTGTGCTCTGAATTTGAACCAGGAAACTTCCCATGTGGGTACGCCTCACAGAGTGCCCCATTTTTCTGCTGTGCCACTATCTGGCCCCTGTCCTCAAAGATTTTTATAACAGCCCTCCAGATTTTGATTCTTTTCTTAGGGTACACGTCTAGCCTTCACCTCTGCTGGGTCCCAAAGCCACTTACCACTTCAGATACTTTTTTGTCATAGCAGAATTCCACTTCTGGTACCAAAATCTAGTTTGGTTAGTAAGGCTGCAAAACAGATTGCCACAAAATTACTGCTTAAAACGACGAATACATATATTTTGCTCACTAATCTGTGGTTCAGGCAGGGTTCATCAGAGAGCTTACACGTGCTCTACTCATTGTGAGCTGGCTTTCAGCAGAAGCTTAACCTCGGATGTCAGCTGCAGTGTCTAGGTGTGGCCTTGCTATGTGACTCGGGCTTCATTACAGCCTGATGGTAAGAAGGTCATTTTCCTTCATGACTTAGCTACTGAGGTCCTTCAGTGTCCCTTCTGTGTTCTATTTGTGGAAGAAGTCGCAGTGTCCTAATAAGACTCAAAAGCAGGGAAATAGACTTTCATCCTTGACATGGCTCCAAAAGAGCATGTGGGACCAGAAATACTGATGTGGTCATTTGTGGAAAATAATTTTTCTAGAAAAATCTGTAATGTCCTTATTGTATGCTCATACTCAGTAATTGGTACAGTTTAAATTTTAGGTTGACACTTCCTGACCCTAAAATATATTACAAAGCTATGATAATCAAAACAGCATGGTATTGGCACAAAAACAGACATGAGGATCTATGTGACAGAGTAGAGACCCCCCCAAAAAAAACACAACACGTACAGCTACCTAATCTTTGACAAAGG